TAAGCTCATCCTGACGTTACACTCATCGAGAGCTTTCATTTGAGTACCCACATGCATTTTTCATATATTTTATATATTTATATATTTCACAAATACCATATATATAAAATATATAAAAAATGCCATGTGGGTACTTAAATGAAAGGTCTCGATGAGTGTAACATCGAAATGAGTTTGTATCTTAAAAAATGTCAATAACTAAGAAATGACTTTGTATCTCGTGAACTATTGACATTTTTAAAGATATAAGCTCATCCCGACATTACACTCATCGAGACCTTTTATTTGAATACCCACATCAATTTTTCATATATTTATATATATTACATATATGTTTATATGAAAAATATATCAAAAATGCATGTGGGTACTCAAATGAAAGCTCTTGATGAGTGTAACATCAAGATGAGCTTATATCTTTAAAAACCTCAATAGTTAAGAAAGTACAGTGTAATTTAACAAAACTCTTTATTTAATAAAGCAAAATTTAATTTATTTATAGTTCACAAGTCGCGGCAGTCACGTAGTGACTGCAAGGTTGCTAGTACATTATAATAAAATTAAGAAACATTTCATTATTTTCAAGATTTTTTTATTATACTCAAATCAGCAGACATCTAATATTTTTTTCATTTTTATTTCAAATTGATTATTAAAAAAAAAAATTATATATAAGTATAAGTACATTCAAAAAATTTTATTTTATATAATATAAAAAAAAAAATCAAAATTAAAAATTAAAAAACAAATTACAAGTTCAGCTTTTTTAAAAATAATTATTTTTGATAAAAATAAAAAGAATTTATCAAATGTCTGCTGACTTCAGTATCATTGAAAAAAATCTATTTTTACCTGTAATTCTTGTAAATTTCCAAACGAATATATTTCGTAAAAATTTTATCTTTAAATAATTTAATTATAAAAATCTAAAAAATTTATTTCTTAAATAAAATTCAAAAATTTAAAAGCGCCTACGGAGTTTAGTGTCATAATAATGACTAAAAAAAAAAAACCAAAAAAGTGATAAAATAAACTTTTTAAATTACCTCCTCAAGTTTTCCAGACTCAATAGCATCCAGCCAACGTTCCTCTTCACTGCTAGTCCCACTGTCCTTACCTTTTCCATTTTTCAAAACCTTTTTCTTGGACTTCGGCGAGGTCGAAGTACCCACTGGAGTTTTCACCAGTTTGCTGTCATCAATTTCGACTTTCTTGACGCGGTTCAACATTTTTTTTCTGTCCAACAGTGAACTTCCCAGAACTGCTTCGTGGATTAATTTCTTCTTCTTGTGTTTTTTGTGCTTGTGTTTTTTATGCCGCTTCTGCGAAATTGTTTCTGAAAAATTATCCACGCAAAAATTAGAGGTTAACTCTGTAGACTATAGTCAGTCTGCTGTGTCAATAGAATATATATCTAGAGACAATAAATTTTGTAAAACTATTTACTTACCAATATTTAATCCTATTTCACTGATAGCTTCTTTAGGTTTGACCATTTTTTATTTTTTTAAAACATTTAGACATTGACAATTAATAGTCTTGTTTTTGTTTAAATGTCAAACATAAATATATATGTATGTTTCATAATAATAATAATAATAATAATAATTATAATTTATTGGTAACTTAGGAATTGTTTTTCTTTCTTGAGAAAAAACTTTTGTGCTGCAGAAGGTAAAATAGAAAAAGACACTGACAAAAAAATTTACATAATTTAGAAAAAAATTTAATAAAAAATTTCACGTGTAACTTAATAAAAATTATGTTTAGTAATTTTTTAAAGCAATTTTTTTAATGATACAGAATTTAGCAGACATCTAAAAATTTTTTTAAATTTTATAAGAATTAAATCATAGTGAAAAAAATTTAGCAAAAAAATTCCACATGTAGAAATTTCAAAAAATAGTAAGTGCGAGTTTTAAAAAATACTTTTTTTATAATAATACCACTTATAAAAATTTCAAGAATTGGTAAATGTCTATGAAAATTAAAGTAGCAGATATTTGATAATTTTTTTTTAATTTTTTAACAAATAAATTTCTGTAAAAAAATAAATTGACATTTAGAAATTTTATAAAAATTAATTTAACAGATATTTGATAATTTTAAGAATTTTTTTTAACAAATAAATTATGGCAAAAATAATGAAAAAATAAAATTGACAGAAATTAAAAAAAATAAAAAATCTAATTTTTTTTAACAAGTTTTTTTTGTTAAATAAAATTGAAAAATGGTCAAGTGACAGCTAACTTTAATATCATAAATGTCTGCTTATTTCAGTATCACTTTTTTTATTGTAATTAAAGTTGTTATAAAAATTATGACATTAAAGGTAGCATAATAATAAAGTTAGCCGACATTTTTGATTTTTTTATTTTGCTTAATTTATTAAATTATAACTAAAAAAATATTTTTAAAAATTGCACTTATGGTTTTTGAGGTTTTTAACAAATCAAATTAACTTTTTTTTAGTTTTTTTGTAATAGTTCTTTAATAAAAAAAAAATCATGAAAATTTTTAGATATCGGCTAACTTTATTTTCATAAAGTTAGCAGTCATTAGAGAATTTTTAAATTTTTTTTAACAAATAAATTTGTTCCAAAAAATAATTTTTAAAAAATTGCATTTTTTATTTATTTAAATTTCTACATGTCAATTTTTTTTTTGTCATAATTTATTTGTTAAAAAAAATTCTAAAAATTATTTAACATCTGCTAAATTTATTTTCATATAAAAATTTTAAAAATTTGACAGCTGATTTTAGTATTATAAAAAAAATTTAAGTCTCAGCTAACTTCAGTATCATAATAAACAGTAATTTAATCTCTTGAATTGATCCAGCGAGTTTGACAGTTTATCACCTGTCACATTGCAGCTGTCATCTGTCATAAAGCGCTCTTATTAGATCTGCATTAAATAAAGAATGTCATTAAATTATTAAAATAAAAAATAATTAAAAAAAAAAAAATCTTACTTACAATTTTTATAAATTAAAATTATATAAATATTTAAGTGACAATTATTAAAAATTGCGGATTTTTATGTTAAGTTTTTTTTTAAATATTTAATATGTCAATTAATAAAATTTTTAAATAATTTATAATTTAAAAAAAAAAATTATTTTTTTTTTTTAATTAAATAAATAAAGATAATACGTGACCAATCAATTTTTATTATGAGCAATTAATATGCAATTAATTACAGTTAACAATTAAACAATGGATATTGATATTTAAATATATATATATATATATATTTATAAATAATTGGTGATTGTAACAATCTTATTATTAAATTCAACTAATTTTTTTTTTCTAGTCCAGTAAATTCAAACATCAATACGGAATTTGAAACTTTTAATATTAACTATTTAAAATTTAATTACCCTGTCGCGAAAAATTGGCAGTATTTATTAAATTTAATACAAAATAATGCATTTGATAAGTTGAAAAAAATTAAGAAAAGAAAAACAATATAAATACAAATGAATAAATAAAAGTAATCTACATATTTTACAGAATTTAAGTGATAGTCCAGTTACAAAAGTTATTAATTATTCACTAATAAATAATATTATCGTTTGGCACTTGTCTGCTTGGTAATTAGTGCGAATAAATAATAGTTATAAGTTACAATGATCATAGATCATTATTGTAATTAATAATTTATAATTTATAGTTAATGATTATCAAAAATTGTTACTTTATATGAGCACGGGTTCTAAAAGACCGTACCAAGCTCATAATTGCAGGATGCGCGGGTGTCAGTACAGTGAGGGAGGGTCAGTTGGTGTTCTGCTTGTTGGTCCGGAGACGGGCTAACCCGGAACGCTCGCCCTCTTCTTCGTCGCTCGTACAAGGCGGTCCGCCGCCAACTGCTCCACGGGATGACGTTGCTTGCATCAGTTCTTGGTCCGGGCCATTACGATGCTCGTATAATAAAATGTTTAATGTTTCTTCGTAAATTCTAGCTTCTGGGAACTCCACCTAGTAATTTTAATTTATTTAGAATTTTTTTAGCAGAAAAAAAAAATTTTTGGAACAATAATAAAGAATAGATTAAAAGGATGTAAATTTTTTTTAAATTATTAAGACTGAAATAATATAAAATTAGTATGATACTGAATTTAACAGGCATTTAAAAATTTTTCAGATTTTTATAACAATTTAAATGTAAAGAAGAAAATTTATCGAAAAAATTTCACATGTAGAAATTTAAAAAAATTGTAAATGTGAATTTTTTTAAATATTCTTTTTATAATTATTGATTTGTTAAAAAAATTCGAATAATTTTTAGATGTCTGCTAATTTCAGTATCATAAATTAGTTATTAAATTAAATACTTAAAAATTGACTGCTGTCTCAAATTATTGATAAAATTAATAATTTTATATCAGGTATAAGACCTCATTAGTGGCACTTTTTATTTCAATGAAAAAAGACCGAATCAAATTCGGAACTTCAGAAGCTGAGCCAAAGAATGAGGAAGAAGAGTCCAGATGAAGCAAAAATGAAGCAAATTATTAAAGTTTTATTTATAATTATTAATTGAATGTAGCAGGGGATGGGACAGTATTAAAGTTTTTTTTTTTGTAAAAGCTGTACTTAAGAAAATAAATAATAATATTTCAATGAAAAAATGTTCTAGGGTAAATGCACCAGTTGTTGACCGGTCACCAATTAGTTGACCGATGTATAAAAAAGTTAATTAATTAATATTTTACAAGGGTTTTTTTTTTCTTAAAGTATTAAAATAAAACAATATGGCACTTAATCATCATAATAAAAAATTACGCAATTAATTGGGCAGTGATTATAGCTTTAAAAAAATATTCTGAGTTTGTTTACAACGGAACCAGCCATAAAGCGGTCAAAAATAACTAGCGTACAATTGGAGAGTGAGTGCATTTCATAATTAATTTAGTGATATTTATCGGCATAATATAAAATATTTTAGTTTTATTATGTTAATTAAACATCAGATTCCAACTTTTTTGAAAAAATAAAGTTAAATTATAAGTTTTAATATTATTTTAAGACCGGTCAACTATTGGATCCGTCAAAAGCCCTTTACCCAGTCAAAAATTCATTCGGTCATTTATTAGACCCTCTGATTTTATCACAATCCAATTAATGACCGTATAATTATAATACTAACTTCTTAAGCTCAAAATTAAATCTGTCAAGTGTTTAAAGTACTTTAGTCATTCAATATTTTGTAAATATAAAAATAATCATTATAAAAAATGTATATTTATAATTAAAATAATACTTAAAATCTTTTTTGATTATTAAATTTTATTTTGTTCTAATTTTTTTAGTGAACGGTTATGTCAAAGAACGAATCATTAGAAGAAAAAATTGCTAAGCAATTAAAAAAATAAAAAAGAGTTACTAGCTAGTAAAAAAGCTTTAATTGAAAAAAAGAAGGAGAAGAATAAAAAAATTTCAAGTGAATCCGAAGAATTATCGTCATCAAAATGAATTTGTGATTATTTGTCACCTAAAGAAATGTGACTTTATGTTAATTATTGTTATTATTTATATTATTTTATAAAAAAGTACGATTTAAAATTATATTGTATGTTTAATTTTGTTAAAGATGTCGTTAATACTTTAAAAATACTGCATAAATTTAATTACATACATGTAGTTTACAAAATTACTTATAATTATTTGAGCGGTCAATTAATTGGAGAACGGTCGGTCATTTATTGGGTTTCTTCGGTCAATAATTGGTAATTTTAGTATTTCAACATTCAAATAACAAAATTAATATAATTTTGTTAATTTTTATTATAAATAGTTATTAATTATTATTAATTAAGTATTTAATTTTAATAAAATCCATTACAAATTGTTTTTAGAAGGTTAATAGATTTTTTATAGCTTAGTACAGAAAAAGAAAACCATAATTGGTGCATTTACCCTACTTGGAATAAAAATTAAAAATTTTTTTGATCTAAAGGTCTTAAAGATTTGAAATAATATATTTATTATTGAAATTAATGGTTTCATTAATTGAATAAATACCAAAATCAAAGAAAGTGTCAGTAATGGGGTCCCCGCCACTAATGGGGTCTTTTACCCTAATAAACAAAATTAAGTTTTTGTTAATTTAATGTCTTTAGTATCTAATCTTATGGTGATTATTTTTTTTAATTATTCTATTGAATTTTAAAATAATGTTAACTTACCGGTCAATTATTGGATCCGTCAGAAGCCCTTTACCCCAGTAAAAAATTCATTCGGTCATTTATTAGACTCTCTGATTTTATCACAATCTAATTAATGGCCGTATATTTATAATACTAACTTCTCAACCTTAAAATTAAATCTGTTAAGTGTTTAAAGTACTTTAGTCATTCAATATTTTGTAAATATAAGAATAATCATTATAAAATGTATATTTACAATTAAAATAATACTTAAAATTTTTTTTGATTATTAAATTTTATTTTGTTCTAATTTTTTTAGTGAACGGTTATATCAAAGGACGAATTATTAGAAGAAAAAATTGCTGAGCAATTAAAAAAATAAAAAAGAGTTACTAGCTAGTAAAAAAGCTTTAATTGAAAAAAGGAAGGAGAAGAATAAAAAAATTTCAAGTTAATCAGAAGAATTATCGTCATCAAAATGAATTTGTGACCTAAAGAAATGTGACTTTTTGTTAATTATTGCTATTATTTATATTATTTTATAAAAAAGTACGGTTTAAAATTATATTGTATGTTTAGTTTTGTTAAAGATGTCGTTAATACTTCAAAAGTACTCTATAAATTTAATTACATACATGTAGTTTACAAAATTACTTATAATTATTTGAGCGGTCAATTAATTGGAGAACGGTCGGTCATTTATTGGGTTTCTTCGGTCAATAATTGGTAATTTTAGTATTTCAACATTCAAATAACAAAATTAATATAATTTTGTTAATTTTTATTATAAATAGTTATTAATTATTATTAATTAAGTATTTAATTTTAATAAAATCCATTACAAATTGTTTTTAGAAGGTTAATAGATTTTTTATAGCTTAGTACAGAAAAAGAAAACCATAATTGGTGCATTTACCCTACTTGGAATAAAAATTAAAAATTTTTTTGATCTAAAGGTCTTAAAGATTTGAAATAATATATTTATTATTGAAATTAATGGTTTCATTAATTGAATAAATACCAAAATCAAAGAAAGTGTCAGTAATGGGGTCCCCGCCACTAATGGGGTCTTTTACCCTAATAAACAAAATTAAGTTTTTGTTAATTTAATGTCTTTAGTATCTAATCTTATGGTGATTATTTTTTTTAATTATTCTATTGAATTTTAAAATAATGTTAACTTTATTAATATTTTTAATTTAGTGAAGCTTACTATAAAAGAAAAAAATGAAGCGAAAATAAAAATTAACAATACAAAATGATTTAATTAGTAAAGTTAGATTATTTTGGAGGTTTAAAAAATGTTTTCATGAAATCAGACCTAAATTGAACAAATTAATAATAATGAATGAATTAATTTAAGCGACTAATTAATTAATTATATTAAAAATAGCAGAAATTGGAAAATTTTTAGGTTTTTAATTGATAGTAATGTATAAACTCAGTTTTATTTAATTAACTAAGAGACAGTTTTTTAATACGGAATTAATAGATATAATTATTATCATCAGTATATCTATGCACCTAAAATATATAGATATATTTTTGCATTGAAGAAAATTTTATACCGGATTGAAAAACTGGCCCTAAATGTACCTACTAATTTTTTTCAATTATTCAAAATCATTATTATTATTATTATTTTCATTTCAGAAAAAAAAGATTTATTAGAAGAATAATGAAGAAAACATCAAAATGATGTAAAAAAATAGGTAAATTTCTTCAATTAATTCTGACTAAAATATTAATAATTTTATTATTATTTTTAATTCGGTGAAGCTTACTATAAAAGAAGAAATGAAGCGAAACTAAAAATAAGCAACTAATTAATTAATTATATTAAAAAAAAATTAATAAACATTTTGAATAAAATTCCAATATTAATAAAAATATAAGTTTTCATGATTAATTTATAGAGAATTAAATAGATTTTAAAATAACCTTTCTTCATTCATGTATATTTAATCAGAGTTATTTTTAAATATATGACAGAAAAGCAATAATTCGATTACTCTTATCCTATTAATTCCAATAAAAAGCTTTAATTCCTTAAAATAGAGATTTGCTGGATAAAGGAAATGATTTCTATGAAAAAATTTAATTCAACAAAACCCAAAATTTTCTGAACTGTTATAAATTATTTTCAAAATACTTGCCAGCTTATTATTATTTAAAAAAAAATGACAACTCATTATTTTTACCTTGGTATGTTTTTTATCAGTAGTATAAACAATTGAATGACAACAGACTTCTCCGACTTTTCTTCCATGTCCATAAAACGTCCAACAGCATATTTCAATAGAACCGATAACGTCTTTAATAAATAAGACTCTTCCATTGAATCTCAAAGACATTTTATCGAACAATTCGATGTTTTTCAGTAAATTATCATCTGATGTGCTGAAAATTAAAATTCTTATTTATTATTAATTTCAAGTAAATAAATAATAATAATAATAATAATAATAAAAAATACCTTGTATATGAATATTTATTATTATGCCTATTGATAAGTAACTTAACAACTGGTTTGGTAGTACTGCTAATGAGCAATTGCTCTTCTCTTTGGGAAGTTATTAAAGCAACTCTACAAATAGGCTCAGCTTCGCGTTCTTTTCTTAAAAGTGCTTGTTCACATGATTCTGCTAGCTCGCTGATGCAGTAGTACTTGGCTTCTACCAGCAGCTCGGTTATTTCTTTAGTGCTTTCTGGGAGAGCTACTGATCCGTTTCTCAGAAAATTTAAAATTGTTCCAAAATGTTTTCCGCATCTGTCTATCAATATCCAACCTGCCAATAATTAATATTTATATTAATTTAATTGGAATGAATAATATTTAAAAAATTATGCATGAAATTTTTTTAAAATTTATTTTCTAAATAAAAAAAAATTTTTTTAAATATCTAGTAATTTTAATTTCATAAAAATTATCATTTTTATTTTTAAAAACTTGAATTCAAGTACTTAATAAAATAACTAAGTAGTTTTAATTATAATAAAAATTACAATAATAACCAAGAAAATAGTTAAAAAGAAAAAAATTTTTTTGCTAATAATTTTTTCAAATTTCTGCCTGTGAAATGTTTTTATTTAATTTTTTTTATAACTAAATTGTTATAAAAAAATTAAAAAATTTTGAAATAATCGTTAATTTAAGTATCATAAAAATATTTTTAAATCAGCAGACATTTAACAATTTTTTTAACAAAATAAATTATAATAAAACAAATATTCTTACTAATAATTAAAAAAAATATTTTTTTCTGTTATAATTAATTTGTTACAAAGAATTAAAAAATTAATGCTTTTTAATTTTTTGAATTTCTACTATAAATCAATTATGAAAAAAAAAATTTAAAAAAATTTTTTAATTAAACTTTTTGCATAAAAATTAAAAAATTTATAGATGTTTTTTAATATTCTGAATGTTTACAACAATTTAATTATTATAAAAAGATATCGAAAATTTTTTTTTCAATTTCTATAAGTGAAATTTTTTAATTAAATTTTTTGTATAAAAATTAAAAGAATTAATAGATGTCTGTTAATTTTCTTAATTTTTACAACAAATTGGGATAAAAAAAAAAATTTTAGTTGAATTTTTTTAATTTCTATTTGTGAAATTTTTTATGAAAATTATTTTCATAAAAATTAAATTGTTATAAAAAACTAAAAAATTTTGAGATAATCGTTAATTTAAGTATCATAAAAATATTTTTAAATCAGCAGACATTTAACAATGTTTATAGCAAATTAATTATGATAAAAAAAATTATTTAAAAAACATTTTCTTTAATATCTACATGTCTAATTTTTTGCACAAAAACTAAAAAAATGGATGTTTTTTAATTTTCTGAATTTTTACAAAAATTCAATTGTGTAAAAAAAAATTTTTTTTAATTTCTACATATGAAATTTTTTGCATAAAAGTTAAAAAAATTATTAGATTGTTAATTTTCTCAACTCTTACAACAAATTAATTATGATAATAAAAATTTGTACTTAAAATTTTTTTTAATTTCTACTTGTGAATTTTTTTATCCAAATTATTTTTATAAAAATTAAATTGTTATAAAAAATTTTTAAAAATATATATATTTATATTAATTCAAGTATAATTAATATATAAAAAAACAATAACCACCTTCAGAATCAGTGTGAACATCCATACGGCCACTGAACATAGCGCGCAACATAGTGTCATGCTTCCTGAGAGTGCTGATGGTCGTGTAGTGCAAGGACCCGCCGATATTGAGTTTGACATACTCCGAGGGATAGCGAATCACCGGGCGATGGTCACCAGACATAACGGTGGTGTTGCTGGTGCTGGTGGTGGTGCTGACGATCAACGCTGGCGAGGTTGACGAAGTCGAAGTCGAAGTCGAACTCGCCGGAGAAGAAGTCACCGAGCAAGATGAGACGGGCAGCAGAGCTAGAGGTTCTGGAGTCGTCGATGACGACGGTGCCTCAATTTTATCTGGTGTCACAATCAACATTTAATTTTCTTAAACGAGCAACGTCGACACGCTGCTTTGTCAGTCTTAGTTTTGGTCAGGCTGCTAATCTAACGATCCTACTGTACCTAGTTTCTGAAATTAATATTTTAATTATTATTATTATTATTATTATTAATAATAATAATAATATTATTATTTTTTAAAATAATAATTATTATAAATGCAAAACTTACTGCGATAATTGCTAGTCTACGTGACACTTAGACTCGTCATTTTAAATATTTATGATCCAAGTTCGAGGAAGTTCTCTTCTGCAGATATATTGATTTTATTACGCGTAATTCAATCATGTCTTTAATTCCATGTCCATACTGGTAGTGCACGATGTTTTTTTTTTTCTTATTATTATTTATTGTAATTTTAACAACTTATGTGAGTATGTAATCCAATAACACAACCAGTTGACAGTCACTTGAAGTTGCCGAGGCTGGATTATTTTTTACAGGATGACAACTGCGGAAAAAAAATTTTATTGGTACCATAACTATAAAAATTATTTTTAGAAAAAAAATTGTTAAGGGCCAGTTTTTTAATCCAGGGTAAATTTTATTCAATGATGAAGTATATTTATGAAAATTAATTTAGCGTATATTTAATAATTTTAAAAATTTTATTGCTAATAAATTCTGGCAAAAAAAAATTAGAAAAAAAAAATTGACAAGTAGAAATTTAAAAAAATAAAAAATGCAATTTTTTAAAAATAATTTTTTTGATAAATAAAATTAACAAAAAAAAGTTATGAATTTTTCAAAAAAACTGCTTTTTTATTTTTAAATTATTGCCATAACTTTATTTTCAAAAATTGACTTATCGGGACGTTTTTTTTTTTTTTAAATTTTTGTTATTAAATGTTCTTTTTGGTAAAAAATAGAAAAAATTTTCTTTGTTTTTAAAAAAATCAATTTTCTCGATGATTAACATGTTCAACTTTTGGTTCTATACTTTTTTCTTGTTTTTTGAGGATTCCCGGAAATTTTTGGACCGGTGTTATGAAAAGTAGGATTAATAAAAAAAATTTTTTTTTTTTTTTTTTAAATAGAAATCGAAAAAACTTCATTCTGGAAATTTCAGGATATTTGTAGAAAAAGTCAAAGTTTTATATGAAAGAAAGAAAGAAGAAATTAAAAATGTTTATCACGAAGAAATTCGGAGTTTTTTCAGAAAATCTAAAAAATAACGTTGAAGATAGGTTTGAATAATTTTTTTCTATTTTTTCCCAAAAAGAACATTTAATAACAAAAATTTTGAAAAAAAAAAACGTCAAAAAAACGTTACAATGAAAAACTTCGTTGTAAAATATATAACGGAAGTGCTATGCGCATGCGTCATTCTTTCTTTGTTTTTCCCTTTCTGTCAAGGCATTATATTGGCAGAGTGCGAAGTATATGGTGGGGAGGGCTGGCGCTGACTACCACTTTTACGTGTAAATCTTATGAGAAGAGCATGATTTAACGCTAATGGCGACCACTGGAACTAAATTACTCCGTTTGATTTAATAAAACTTTTTTGAACTTTTTAAGAAAACAAAAAACTTTATGAACTATTATCTCATATATTAATTGTAAAAAATTTTCTTGACATAATTTTTGTTGAAAAAAAAAAAATGATCAAATGTCTGATATAATTTTATTTGTAAAATTTAATTTTTTAAAAGTAATTTTATGAACTAAAAAAATTTTTTTTGTAAATTTTACATGACAAGAAAAAAAAATATTTTTAATTTTTAAAATTAATTATTAATTAGAGAATAATAAATTTCATAAAAATTACACAAACGAAAAATGAATAAAACAAAACAATGCGCGGTAATAAGTGCGCAGGTAACTAGGCAATACATTCAGTATCAAAACATAGCAACCGCTTTTGTAAACTTACACTTGTCAAACAATATTATTTTTTTTTATAATTATTAAATAATAATTGTAAAAAATTACAAAAATAAATGGCGGAATCTCTGGCAAAATATGGATTATTCATTGACGACTTGTGTAAAATCCGTATCCTCGAGCCTGAGATAACAACTCAGAGTGACAAATTAAAAAATGAATGTCATGATTTTGTCAATAGTAAATTACAATTATTTTATAAAAATTAAAGTAGCAGATATTTAATAATTTTTTAAATTTTTTTAAGAAATAAATCAGTACAAAAAAAATTATCAAAAAAAAATTATGAAAAATTAAAAATGCTATTTTTTTAAAATAATTTTTTGGATGAAATTTTTTTGTTAAATAAAATTTAAAAATTGTAAAGTGACTGCTAACTTTAATGTCATATTATTATACAATAAATTAAAAATTATAAAAAAAATTAATTATTTTTACAGAAATAACAGAGTTTAAAAAAAATTCAGAGCACTTTATAAATTTGCTAGACAAACTAGCGACAGAAGTTGAGAAAGAAAAAATGCGAACTATTGGCGCGAGAAATTTACTGAGCTCTGTTGAGAAACAACGTGAAGTACAAAAACAAAAAATTCAGGTAAATTTTTTAATTAAATAATCAATAATAATAATAAATTTGAAATAATAATTACAGGCAATGATAATTGAAAAAACAATGGAGTTGGAGCGGCTACGAGTTCAGTATGACTCGGTAAAAAAAATAGAACTCGAGCAACTAGAAACAATTGAACATTTGACTATTAATTAACACACCAATTTGTTTATTAAATATTTATAATTCAGACAGTAAAAATTTAAACTTAAGTTTAATTAAATGAATCCTTAATTTTTAACTATTTATATATTAATTATTATTACTATTATCATTATTGTAATTATTATTATTATTATTATAATTATTGTTGTTGTTGTATTGTGATTCCTAAAAATAATCCTTAGAATTAAAAGGCACGTTAAATTTTCTAGCCACTGACACTAAAAAAAAGCAAAATTTTGAAAATAAATTTTATTTTAAATGAAAAAAAAATAAGAAAATTAAATCGTGTTACAAATATAAACCCTATTGTCTAGATTTATTTACATTTACATATTAATTCTAATAAACGTTAAATCTAGAGACCATTAGAAACAGATTATCTAGTCGGAGCTGATTTAATAAAGTGAGTTTAAATTTTTTTAATTATTAAGATAAAAATAATTATACACTGAAAGAACAAAATGACACCGGATATCATCCGAGATTCAACTCGGTGATATCTGTGGAGAATAAAAAATTCAGATAGTAGCTAGAAAAATCCAGATTATACTTATTATAATCTAGATTATACTCATTGTAATCTGAATTTTAATTATTGTAAAAAAAAAAAATTATTTTGTTTAAAAAATTTTTTATGAAAATTATAATTATACTTATAATTATTACAAAAATTATCATTATAATTATAATAATAATTATTATTATTACAATGATATTAATAATAGTAATAATAGAAAAAAAAATTACTCAGAATAAAAATAATTTTCATAAAAAATTTCTTAAACAAAATAAAATTTTTTGTTTTTCAGATAGTAGCTAGAAAAATCTAAATTGTACTGCGTGATGTCTGGTTTATACTCATTATAATCTAGATTATACTCATTGTACTCTAAATTGTAATCATTGTAAAAAAAAAAAAAAAATTTTATTTTGTTTAACAAATTTTTTATGAAAATTATTTTTATTCTGAGTAATTTTGTTTCTGAAATTATAATTATAATTATTATTATTATTGTAATAATAATTATCATTATAATTATTATTATTATTATTATAATTATAATAAAAAGAAAAAAAAAAATTACTCAGAATAAAAATAATTTTCATAAAAAATTTCTTAAACAAAATAAATTTTTTTTTGTCAGATAGCAGCTAGAAAAATCTAGATTATACTCATTGTAATAATTGTAATCTGGATTATACTAACTACTATCTAAAAATTTTTTTCTGAGATGATATCCAGTGTCATCTTGTTCTTTCCGTGTCTGAGGAATCTTTTTAAATAAAAAAAAAAAAAAAAATAATGCTCCTTCGTAATTTTAATTAACAAAAAGAAAACTGTACGGTTGTAAAAAATGTTTGAAATTAGGTAATTGTAATTAATAATAATAAAAAAAACTTTAAACGGTTTCTCTGGCCCGTTTACACTCGTTAGATTGTTCATTAGCTGAATTTTTTTCACTGGTGGGCGAGAGCGGCCTTTTTTTAGCTGCCGACTCCTCGGTCTTGTTTTTTTGGTCCTCTGTATCGTTCTTCAGCTTCACGATCACTGCTGTCATGTTGTCACACCCAGTACCGTCACCGCAGGTATCTGGTGCTAAGCAGTGATCAAACAGCTGCAATAAATAATTCAATAAATTAGTTTTATGTATATATAATGTAGAGAAGGAAAATATTATACGGAATAGACAATTTTTATTGAATCAATAAAAACTGTGAATTCAATTAAAACTTTTACTAGAATAAATAATGCAAATGCTGGTTTAATTGATTCTACAATTGAAAATTTTAATTAAAAAATTTAATATCTGTCGGCTGCTTCCCTGATTAATATTTATTCAATAATAATTATCTATGAGTTTGTAAAAAGTAGGTAATTGTTTACTTTCACTCTCACGTTATTCGTGTCTGGAAAAATTCAATAAAATTGTTAGAAAAATTTATTTTATCTACTTGTCTTATTTTTTAATAATATTTTTAAAATATCGATGTATACGAGTTTAATATTAAATTATAAGTGAATGAAAAATGGAATAAATAAAAAAAAAAATAATAATAAAGTATTATTAAATAAAGATAATATTAAAATATTTTTTTTTTTTTTCATATTTTGCATCAATAGAATAATTTTAAAAAAGTCAATTAAATTGCCGATATTTTAATTATTGAATTTTGACAATTTATTACAATCGATAAAATCGAATCTAACGTTAACAAAATTCTAAAAGTTGACGTCTACTTTTATTTTCAATTATTCAATTGTAGGTGTAAAATTTAACAATAATAAAAGAAAAGATAAAATTGAAATTTTATCAAAAAGCATGAGCCAATATTTTTTCTAAATTTTGAAGGCAAAAAAGCTATCGAATCTTTATTTTTTCTTTCACGAAATTTTTATCATAAATGCGCTGTTAAAATAAGCAGAATAAAAAAAATTTGAAAATGTTAATTTTTCATTTACATTGAAAGAACAAGATGACACTGGATATCATCCCAGATTATAATCAGTGATATCTGTGGTGAAAAAAAATTTCAAATAGTAGCTAAAAAAAATTCAGATTATACTGCATAATATCTGGATTATACAAGCTACTATCTGAAAATTTTTTTCACTCAGTATAACCTGGGATGATATCCAGTGTCATCTTGTTCTTTCCGTGTAGTTATGTCTCAAAATGGGGTTGACTGCACTTGCAAATAATTCCCAAAATTTTTAATTTTTTTTAACTTAATTTTTTTATCCCTAAATTTTTCAATAAAAAAAAAAAAAAAATAAATAAATAAATTACCTCTTCGCAAATGGCCGACAATTGTTTTCTCTCATCAATCCTCTTCTTAACAAACTCGACAACATCAGCACTGCTCATAAAGTTCCAAATTCCATCACAAGCAAGAATAAGAAACTCATCTCTCTGAGTCTCAATCTTAACATGTCTGACATCAGGCATCGCGGAGATCATCTGCTTCTCTGGCGGGAGGTCAGAATTCTGCTTATAAGAATGATCTCCCAGAGCTCTGGACAAATTGAGCCCTCCATTGACTCGTCCGTCGGCAGTGACTTTACCCCCAGCCTCATTGATCCGCTTCATCTCGAGGTCATCCTCCGGCTTGTGGTCCAAGCTGAGCTCCAAAGCCTGGCCATCTCTACAAAGCACGCACCTGGAGTCTCCAGCATTCGCGACAAACAGATCATCTCCTCTGAGAATAGCGACAACTGCCGTGCACCCGCTGTCTGAGCCGGGCTCTTCATCCATAGTGATGTCTTCTTGTGCATCATCATTCTCGTCGTCTTCGTACTCCGCATATTCGTCATCCGAATCTTCCTCGTCGGATTCATTTTGGTCGAGCTCCTCCTCGTCACTCTCCCCGGGAGCGTCAAAGGATTCATCTGTGTCATCCTCATCCTCTTCGTCCGAGTCCGAATCCCCGAGCAGTCCGTGGAAGAGTGCTTCTGCGGCAGCTGAAATTCTGCGTCTGGTACTGGTCATTGCTTCCTGGCTCGTCTCTCCGTTTTCCATCGTCGAGCTGCTGGTCACGTCGTTATTTTTAGCCTCTTCCTTGCTCTCGGGTTTGTCTTTAACGTCAGAGCCGTTTACTTCCTTACTCTCGGTTTCATTTTTACTGGGAGATACTTTTGCATCCGAGTCCTCGGAACTGTCCGGCATTTCTGCTTTAATCTCTTTTATTTCCTCCTTTGCTTTAACTGCCGGTTCTGAAATTTTATTGTCTTGTTTAATGGATCATTTATTTTATTATATAAATGTATTTTAATGTATAATTTATTTTATTACTATTCAAATTATTTAAAGTTTCATTTTAAGCTTACAATAATTTTTAATTATTATTAATAATATAAGTTTTTAAAAATTGTCTATTTTATTTGAATAAATTATTCAAATAATAATTAATATTTATTCATTTATGTACATATAAATAAATAAGTAAGGTAAAAAACCCAGTTATTGACACTTGCAATTTTATTTTAATAAAAAAAAAAAAAACAAATCGACTCTAATCAATTACTAAATATAATTTTTGAATTATAAATTTTAAGATTATTGGTTTTTTGAGATTTTATTTTTTTAATTTGAATAAAATTGCAAGTGTCAAACAACTAGGCCAGTGTCATTAACTGGGTCTTTTACCTTATTGAATATTAATTTTTTTTTTTTAATAAAAAACAATTAGAAATTTTTATAAAATTATTAGAATATTAAAAAAAATTATAACATTAAAATTGATAGACACATGACAATTTTTTTATTTTTTCTTGAATAATAAACTAGCCATAGAAAATTATTTTTAGAAAATTGCATTTATAATTTTTTAGAAGTTCAAAATATGAAATTTTTTTAATAAATTTTTGTTATTACAATTTATTAGTTAAAAAATTTCTAAAAATTATCAGATACCTCTTAATAAAAAATTTATACAAAAAAAATTAATTGCTTATATTAATAAAAAAATTTTATAAAAATAAAATAGTAGACATTTTACAATTTTTCGAATTTTTCTTATTGAAAAATTCATTACAAAAAATATCCACATGTAGAAAATTTTAAAAAATAATGTGTGCAATTTTTTAAAAATATTTTTTTAGTTTTAATTTAATTAATAAAAAAAATATGTTAAATGTCTGCTAATTTCAGTATTATAAAAATATCAACATAAAAAATAGGTTTAATAACCTTTAAAACAAATAATTAAAATTTCAATACTAGGGATTAAAAAAATCGACAATTTTTTTTATACAAACCATACAATCATTTATAATAAATTAGCAGACATCTAACAATTTTTGAAATTTTTTAAAATTTTAATTGAAATTTTTTTTTTCAATTTTTTTCAAGGACCAGTTTTTTGTGTTTTTTAATCCAAGATATAAAATTTTATCCAAGATGAAATTATTATTGCCAGTATATCTATAGCCATGAAATATATAGATATACAATCATGGTCATTAATTTAAGAATGTTTTTAATATTACTGGAAAATAGCCGTTTGTAAACTAAAAAGTTTATTATCTGTAAATTTGAAAATCAGTTGATAATGTCATTTGTAAAATTAGTCGCTTATAAAAAATAATACTAATGAAATTAACGAAATGGAAATTTCACCAATCATAAATTCAGTCATTTATAAAATTGAAGAAAACAAAAATCTTATCCTGCAAAAAACAAAAATTTTATCCTGGTTTGAAAAACTGGCTCCAAATTTCTGCAGTAATAATTGGCTAAATTTACATAGCCAAAGGTTTTTGATTTTCGTTATTTTATAAATGACTGAACTTATATTTTGTGAAATTTCTATTTCACTAATTTCATTAATATTATTTTTCGCTACTAATTTTACAAATGACATCAACTAATTTTCAAATTTATAGTTTATAAACGTTCGAGTTAAAAAATGGCTATTTTCTAGTAAACTTAAAAACATACTTAAATTAATGTCTACGATTGTATATTGGTATATAGGATAAAATTTTATGTCAGATTGAAAAACTGACCCTAAATTTCTACATGTGTATTTTTTTTCTGGAGATTTTCAATTATTATAAAAATCTAACGTCTATTTTAAATGCAGACAATAAAAAATTAATTAAAGCAATATTGTACTATGTTATCAACAGCTGTCGTCTAAGGGCTTTCTGCCTAAATGAGTGAACTATTTATTGTAAAAAGAAAAATTTTTTTTTTTTGTTTTAGATTCCTTTCATGTAAACTACTAAATTGTAATTTATATATTTATGTATTAACTGTATACCCCCTTGCTATGGGTTAAATGTACCTGAAGAGCAATAAATAATCTTAATCTTATAAAAATCTAAAAAATTATTAAAATTAGCAGTCACTTGATAATTTTTTAATTTTATTTAATAAAAAAATTTTTTCTGAAAAATTATTAAAAAAAAATTGCATTTATATTTTTTTCAAAATTTCTATTTTTTTCTCATTCTTTTTGCCATAATTTATTTAAAAAAAAAAATTCTAAAAATTATTAAATATCTACTAAATTAATTATCATATTAGATGTCTGTTAAATTCAGTATCACAATTATTTAAAATTAATTTTAAAAACAATTATTTCAAATTAATTTTAAAAACAATTATTTCAAATTAATTTTAAAAACAATTATTTCAAATTAATTTTAAAAACAATTATTTCAAATTAATTTTAAAAACAATTATTTCAAATTAATTTTAAAAACAATTATTTAAAATTAATTTTAAAAACAATTATTTCAAATTAATTTTAAAAACAATTATTTCAAATTAATTTTAAAAACAATTATTTCAAATTAATTTTAAAAACAATTATTTCAAATTAATTTTAAAAACAATTATTTCAAATTAATTTTAAAAACAATTATTTCAAATTAATTTTAAAAACAATTATTTCAAATTAATTTTAAAAACAATTATTTCAAATTAATTTTAAAAACAATTATTTCAAATTAATTTTAAAAACAATTATTTCAAATTAATTTTAAAAACAATTATTTCAAATTAATTTTAAAAACAATTATTTCAAATTAATTTTAAAAACAATTATTTCAAATTAATTTTAAAAACAATTATTTCAAATTAATTTTAAAAACAATTATTTCAAATTAATTTTAAAAACAATTATTTCAAATTAATTTTAAAAACAATTATTTCAAATTAATTTTAAAAACAATTATTTCAAATTAATTTTAAAAACAATTATTTCAAATTAATTTTAAAAACAATTATTTCAAATTAATTTTAAAAACAATTATTTCAAATTAATTTTAAAAACAATTATTTCAAATTAATTTTAAAAACAATTATTTCAAATTAATTTTAAAAACAATTATTTCAAATTAATTTTAAAAACAATTATTTCAAATTAATTTTAAAAACAATTATTTCAAATTAATTTTAAAAACAATTATTTAAAATTAATTTTAAAAACAATTATTTCAAATTAATTTTAAAAACAATTATTTCAAATTAATTTTAAAAACAATTATTTCAAATTAATTTTAAAAACAATTATTTCAAATTAATTTTAAAAACAATTATTTCAAATTAATTTTAAAAACAATTATTTCAAATTAATTTTAAAAACAATTATTTCAAATTAATTTTAAAAACAATTATTTCAAATTAATTTTAAAAACAATTATTTCAAATTAATTTTAAAAACAATTATTTCAAATTAATTTTAAAAACAATTATTTCAAATTAATTTTAAAAACAATTATTTCAAATTAATTTTAAAAACAATTATTTCAAATTAATTTTAAAAACAATTATTTCAAATTAATTTTAAAAACAATTATTTCAAATTAATTTTAAAAACAATTATTTCAAATTAATTTTAAAAACAATTATTTCAAATTAATTTTAAAAACAATTATTTCAAATTAATTTTAAAAACAATTATTTCAAATTAATTTTAAAAACAATTATTTCAAATTAATTTTAAAAACAATTATTTCAAATTAATTTTAAAAACAATTATTTCAAATTAATTTTAAAAACAATTATTTCAAATTAATTTTAAAAACAATTATTTCAAATTAATTTTAAAAACAATTATTTCAAATTAATTTTAAAAACAATTATTTCAAATTAATTTTAAAAACAATTATTTAAAATTAATTTTAAAAACAATTATTTAAAATTAATTTTAAAAATAATTAATTAAAATTAAATTTTTTACTAAAAAAAAAAAGTAAAAAAAAAATCTTACCATTTACGACTTTATGGTCAACTTCTCCATTGACAGTAGCCTCAGTTCCAGTTCCAGTCGTAGAATCAAGAATCTGTTCAGCTTCGCTGCTCTTACAACTCTCAACATCCTTCTCTGGACATTTTTCAGCCTCTCCATCCTTCTCTTTCTCCTTACTCTCCCCAGAAGCCGAAGCAGAAACAGAGCTGGAGCTAACATCGGCCTCATTAGTCCAAGTAGAAGAGCACCCAGCAGCAGGGTCCCTTTCTTTGGTGCGACGACAGCGAATATTAGGACTGGAAATAATTTTCTTGCCAAGCCTGTCTCCAGCAGGAGTCTCCATGTACTTGGCGATCACCTGCTCGAGCGGCATCGCGGCTTCCTGCTTCAAGTCCCTGACATTGTCTTCTTCATCTGTCTCGGCCTCCTCCTTGACTTTCTCAGAGTCTCCGGCGCTCGAGGAGATTTCTTTGAGGACCTTTATCACCTCAGGAGTCGCGAGAGTCGCGTCGAACCCCAGGAACGCGTCAATCAGCGCCTGTCTGATGTCACCGCGTTTGTAAGCTTCTGTTTCTTTTATAAAATCCGGGAGCTTCTTCGCGCAGTAACTCGCGACCTCGTGCCCGCCGTGGCCATCGTAAACTGCAAAGAGCGAGACGTTCTCGTCGAAATCGCTGCAGCAGTTGTGAGCGTCCTGGTAATAAATGTCAACAATGTCAGAAAAATATTAAAAAAAATTAATTTAATTAATTTTAATTATTAGTAATTTATTATTGAAATAAAAAATAAATAATTATTTACCTCTTGGCTTATCCGCCATCCTTGCATAGAACTCGCGCCAAATACCACATTTTTACCTAAACCATCAACGGACTCCTTTGTGGTTACCGGCTCGGACAAATACGCGCCCATTTTTATTTTTCAATATTTATGAAGAGGTATTATGATATTTTAGTAGTGATTATTTTTTTATCTCGACACTGTTAATTATTTTAATGTACAGTACTTGTGTTTGTTTGTTCGTTGTTATTTATTGTTGAGTTTTGTTTAATTGAAGTGAAACTCGGAGCGTTAACGCTGAATATCCATGACCGGTTTTTAAAGCTACTTAACAAATAAAAGTTGCGAATGTGAGCTAATGCTCATCCGCCATTACGATCGTGTTTTTTACGCTGCTGGTGGCCTCTAGTTTTTACGCGGGAAAATTTGAATCTTTTTATGAAAATCAAGTTAGCTGACATTTCAAAATTTTTTTATCCAAAAAATTTCAATTAAACAATTAAAAAAAAAATATCACATGTTAAAAACTTGAAAAACTATAAGTGCAATTTTTTAAAAATATTTTTTTAGTTGTAATTTAATTAAAAAAGAACATCAAAAATTTTTAGACGTCTGCTAACTTCAGTGATATCTTTTTTAATGAAAAGTTAGCCGACATTTAAAAATTAAAAAGAATTTTTTTATTGAAAAAATGACTAGAAAAAAAAAAAATTGTCATTTGTTAAAAACTTTAAAACTGTTAGTGCAATTTTTACAAAATATTTTTTTGTTCTAATTTAATTATTAAAAAAAAATCTAAATCATTGGCTAACTTTAGTATTATATTTAGTCAACGTTTGAAAATTTTTGTTTTTTTTTATTAGTTGAATTAGAACTAAAAAAAAATTTTTTAAAAAGTTGCAAGTATAGTTTTTAAAATTTTCTACATGTGACATTTTTCTTTTAATTTTTTTTTAATAATTTTTCAATATAAATTACAAAAATTTTCAAATGGCTAATTTAATTTTCATCAATTAATCACTTCTAGTGAAAAAAAAAATATTGAACTTAAGAATTATTATTTATTTGTATTTTATAAATTAAAATCATTTTAATTGAAGTGCACTTCATTATTTAAATAATTAAATTTGCATGTAAGACAAAATGGAGTCTTTTAACAAAATGGCGGCATGCACGCGTCGATAAATTAATACTCTAGTATTTTTTAAATTAAAAACTGTTAAATAAACAATTTTTAGTATATTAAGTACTATTTTTTAAGAATAATTATTTTAATTATAATTTATATCATTCATAAATTTAGTATCATTTAAATAATTAAATCATGTAAGACAAAATGAAGTCTGTTAACAAAATGGCGGCATGCGCGCGCCGATAAATTAATACTCTAGTTTTTAAATTAGAAACTGTTTATAAAAACAGTTTTTAATATTTCAAGTTCTATTTTATAAGAATAATTATTTTACTTATAATTTATATCATAAAAAAATTAAATTCAACATATTTATCAGGTTAATTTCAGAAAACAAAATGGCGGATTTAGCACCTCCCAGACAACATCCAAGTCAGAAGGATTTCTTAAGGATGTCTTTTCAAAGACTTCCTTGAGAACTCCAAATATGACGTCTTAAAGACCTTATTTTTCGGAACTCTTAATTAAGAAGTCTTTAAGAAGTTTTTTTTTGTTCTATAAGACATCACAGATATGAGCTCTTTGAGAAGTCTTCTTTCCGACTTCGTAAGAGGTCAAAAAAATGAGCTGTTTAAGAGGTCTTTTTTTGGACTTTCCAAGACATCAGAAATATGAGCTCTTTAAGAGTTCTTTTTTTCTGACTTCGTAAGACATCAAGAATAGGAGCTTTTGAATAGGTTTTTTTTTCTGATTTTGTACTTCGTCTAAAATATGGGACTTAGAAAAATTTTTTTCTACGTTATAAAGAATTTTTAAAATGATAAAAAAATAAAAATAATCGCATTCGAGTAAACTCATTTCGCTGTGTATTTATTTTTGTATTATAAAAATATTATCGTAAATAGCAAAACGTTCAGTAATTCTACTTATTAAAAATTAAATCGAAAAGTATTTTTTTTTATTTTTGGGTAGAAAAGTTAATATCAAGTTTTTTATCGTTGCTATAAGTCGTTTATAATCTTATGTAAACATAAGAGCTTATGCAGAGAAAAAAAATTTACTATCTCATTAGGAACAGCTAGCCAAGGCAGACCAGAGGACACCACATCACTGAAGTTAAGACGCATTAGTCATGATAAATACTTGGATGGGTGACCGCTAGTAAAATCGTATTCTAAGCTGCGAGCGATACCATTTTTTTTTTTTTTTATTTCGAAGAAAATATATTCTAATGTACTTGATTGTCTTCAATTTAAGCAGCTCTTTTTTAATATTAATTACAATACAATTAAAACTGAAAATGTCTCCTCTATAAACTATTTTATTCTGGAGTCAGAAAGGGCTCTTAAATCTGACTAACGGGTTGCTTACGCAATGCGCGAAAAATTCAGAGATCTCTCTTTTTACGCGGCTCGCTATTACCATAAGAGCCACAGTCACTCCTGCCTATCTCTCGAACGAGTTATTTGGTGAGACTTTTGTCTGCCTCCTTTCGAACAGGCCGTTTCTTGGGCTTAAAAAAGCTATACACGCACTTAAAATAAAACCCAAATCTCACCAAACAAAAGCACTGTCAACTCGCCGGGCAAGGAAAAACCCTGCCCTCCAGCTTTTACGCTGGACAGAATGTGAATGGAGTTGTATTTAATTTAATGTCAATCTGTCCTCGTAATTGTTCACTGTATCAAACCTCCCCTATACAACTCCATTCAACGACTACGTTGGCCTGGCCGGTAATATAATGACAATCCGACCAGTTGCCCAGCGGGGCCCATGCGGGGAGGTGTAGCCGTAAGGCCTGTTGAGCTATAATATTTAGTTATCCCTGTATCTGTCTCGTTCGTTTGTTACTTGTCTCTTCTGTGATCCCCGTAATCTTTGAGTCTACCTGCGTTGCCAAATGTTTTGACAACGTCACGAGGCCTTACTCATGATACATTCCGGCTACGTCGAGCAGAAAAATAGTATACACACCTTGGCCAGTAAAAAGTAAAGCCTCAGACCACATGTTTGTCAACCTCGGCTTCGCCTCGGCCAACAATTACATATGATTTCTTAAAGATGTCTTTTCAAAGACTTCCTTGTGAACTCCAAATATGACGTCTTAAAGACTTCATTTTTCGGAACTCTTAATTAAGAAGTTTTTTTTTTTAAGTTCTATAAGACATCACAGATATGAGCTCTTTGAGAAGTCTTTTTTCCGACTTCGTAAGAGGTCATAAAAATGAGCTGTTTAAGAGGTCTTTTTTTATACTTTCCAAGACATCAGAAATATGAGCTCTTTAAGAGTTCTTTTTTTCTGACTTCGTTAGACATCAAGAATAGGAGCTCTTTAATAGGTTTTTTTTTTGATTTTGTACTTCGTCAAAATATGGGACTTAAAAAAATTTTTTTCACGTTATTGAAGAATTTTTAAAATGATAAAAAAATAAAAATAATCGCATTCGAGTGAACTCATTTCGCTGTGTATTTATTTTTGTATTATAAAAATATTATCGTAAATAGCAAAACGTTCAGTGATTCTACTTATTAAAAATTAAATCGATAATTAAATCGAAAAGTATTTTTTTTTTTATTTTTGGGTAGAAAAGTTGATATCAAGTTATTTATCGTTGCTATAAGTCGTTTGTAATCTTATGTGAACATAAGAGCTTATGTAGAGAAAAAAAATTTACTATCTCATTAGGAGCAGCTAGCCAAGGCAGATCAGAGGGCACCACATCACTGAAGTTAAGACGCATTGGTCATGATAAATATTTGGATGGGTGACCGCTAGTAAATTCGTATTCTAAGCTGCGAGCGACACCATTTTTTTTTTTTTTTTTTTTTTATTTCGAAGAAAATATATTTTAATGTACTTGATTGTCTTCAATTTAAGCTCTTTTTTAATATTAATTACAATACAATTAAAACTGAAAATGTATCCTCTATAAACTATTTTTTTCTGGAGTCAGAAAGGGCTCTTAATTCTGACTTCTTGAAGAACTCTTTTTTTGAAGTCAGAAAAAAGAGCTCTTTAAGAACTCTCTCTATGAAGTCCTGATTCACTCTTTAGGTGGCGCTTTGGACGTCCTCAAAACGTCTTGGAGACCTCATTTTGATCAAAATTCTGACGTCTAAATCTTAAATAAGAGTTCTTTGAGAACTGTAAAAGACGTCATATTGCTATCTGGGCCTGTAGTAAAATTAAATTATGAATAAAATTAAAACTAAAAAAAAAAATTAATGACCTTTAAATAATAAAACGGACTTTTTCCAACCTGTCAACAGCTTTCATAAAAAATTACCAGCTAAAATAAACAAAATATCCTTATCATCAAATAAATACCATAAAAAATGAATGAAAAACAAGCTCTAGGTCATAGAAGTTGCGTAGTAGCGTTTATCGATTTCCTCGAGTGTACAATAGCAAGTTAACGTTACACTCATCCGTACGCTTCAGTTCCATGACAATTGCCAATAAAAGTCCATGAAAAAAAAAAAAAGCAGACATTAGCAATCCAGAAAACTGTCACACAAGTGTCAGATTAAACGCATCGAGAAAAATGAAAATCCTGGCAGTAGTTTTGCGTAATAAAATAACAGGTAATCCCCGAAGATTGTTTACCCGAAGATTTTGGCAACATTCCCAGGTTGCCGGCGTACTAGGTGACCGTTGGGTCATCAACCAGAGCTGGTTATTAAAAAAACTACCATTGAGTGGGTGCACTCCAGCATCCTCTTGTGTTGCTCTTGAGACTGAAAGAAAAAATAAATTAAATGCATAAAAAAATCGAGCGAGATGACAGGTAGGGTTGATGAGGGTGCTCCGATTATTCGACGAGGAGAAAAAATTCCTCTACTAGCTCTAGCTCTTACCTTGCCAGAGGAGTAAGTGGTGGGGGGTCGTAGTACCCGTAGTTGTATACCCTTAGCGTGAGAATGAGACGGCGACCGAGTTAAGCTCAGCAGAAGTAAAGGAAGAAGAAATATTTAAAACAAGAGATAGCCGGGTTGTGCG